GTCACCCCTGCTGTGAACCTGGTCTGATGAGACCCTAGGAGCTGACGCCTTTGTGGAGTTGACATCTCCCCGCCCCCAGAAACCGGAGTTTGGACACTGGACAACCAGTCACCAGAGGCACCACACAGACACATCAGCACGAGGCCCCCCAGATCCCCCGTCTTGTGATCAACCTAGAGGAGATCCAAGAACACACTCTTGGTTCAATCCCAGCCCCATACAACTCCACAGGATCAGAAAGTCCCCGTTTCTAATTGTCCAGGTGACAAAAAGTTAGACCGTGGCATGACTTAAGTCCATAACAGATTTGCATCAGCCACTCTGTGAGAACCCTGTCCTGCTGGGGGGTCTCTCAGCCTCACCCAGTGTGACTTCCACTCTGCCACATCACCTCTTTCATGGCCACATTCTAGGTGCAGGATTCCAGAGCCTCAGGATTTGTAAAGAGTGAGCTTTGATCCCTTCACTAAAAAGAGAACGAAAACTGAAACTGTGCCACATGAAGGTTGGCTATTTTTACTGTCATACCTCATGTTGTCACTATCAGTAGCATCTCAGTGTCACATACTCAGAGTCCATTCATTCATTCATCAGACGTTTATCAAACATGTATGCTTTAGTCAGCTCTTTTCACTGCTGTGACTCAAGGATCTGACGTGAACAACAGTGGTGGAGGAGGAGTTTATTGAGGGCTCACGGTTCCAGAGGTCTCAGTCCCTAGCGGGGCGGCTCCATTCCTCAGGGCTCAGGTGAGGCTGGACATCATGGCGGAGTGTGTGGCCGAGGGAAGCAGCTCACATCATGGTGATCAAGAAGCAGAGAGAGAGACTCCACTCCCCATATAAAAATGTAGACCCAAAGCCACTCCCCATGCCCACCTCCTCCAGCCACACCCCACCACTTCAGTTAATCATGAAATCACTGATTAGGCCAAGGCTACAACCCAGTCATTTCTCCTCCAAACTTTCTTGCATTGTCTCACGTGTGAGCTTTCAGGGGCACCTCACATCCAAACCATGTAGTGTGCTAAGTTCTAGAGCAGAAAATGTCAAACCACCCAGTGGTGGAAAGGGGCCATGCAAACTAGTGGAAATGTCAAGCTCTGTCCTTGGCCAATCAGCCCAGTCCTGCCCAGGAGATCCCTGACCCTTGGTCTTGGTAACCCTCGGACAGAGAATTATTACATCACTGCAGAACACTCAGCCTATTGAAGACCCTCTGGCAACATTCAGTTGCAATCCACTCTTGGATGTGCACCCTGTGACTGTGGTGGCAGTGGGTGCTGGCCTCCCGCACAACCTCCGACAGTTAAGGAATCGAAGAAGCTCCCACCTCTTACCTCTCATCTGCCACTGGATTCTCAGCATCCTTGACATCACTCACAGTAAGTTGTACCAGAAAGGATGAGAGGCAACATCACCTACACTCCAAGACCCAAATCTAACCCCTGGGACCATGGTAGATAATCCTGCTGTCTCAGCAAAAACCCAGCTAGTGAATGTTGGTTACCAAGCAACATGGCAGTGGATAGATTCATGGATTCTCAGACCAACTCTTGTGAATAGTGTGACTAAGCATGGGCTTTCTTGGTGTCAGAACAGCCACTGTGCCTCTCTGAAGCATCTGGGGAAGCCCGCAAACAGGCTGCCCTTGGTGGCCTGAGCAGTAGCACCATTGAGAGCAGATGGCTGTGTGTCTCAGCACGCAGCACACTGTGCGCTGGCATCAAGGACAGAGGGACGCACCTGGCTGGTGTCTCCCATTGTTTTCTTCGGTCTCTGATATCACCTCTATCCTGATGGGTAGAATTCCTCTCTGTCCAACATAGACTCACATGGTAGGGAGCAGGTTTCAGCTGGTGTTTTTAGAACCCGGGGTGACAGGTTAAACCAACAATGTTGAAGGAAGCTCAACATTTAGGTGACAAGAAAATGATATGAAACTTAGACTGTGAAAATTGAATCAGAAAGGATCACAAATCCAAATGGAAAATGAGAAACCATAAAACTTTAAAGAAGGACTCACAAGGGAGCATTTTTGAGACCTTTGTTTAGGCATGAACACCAAAAGTATGATCCATAAGTGAACAGCTGGTAAATTGGAATTCATCAAAATTAAAACTTTTTGGTCTGCAAAATTAAAGAGAAGCTAGATACCGGTAGAATTTATCGTACATCCCATGTCTGATGAGGGACTTGTACTCAGAATACAAAATCTCAAAGCTCCAGAGTAATAAAACAAGCCAGGCATAGCGGTGCATGTCTGCAATCCCAGCTGCTTGGGAGGCTGAGGCAGGAGGATCGCGAGTTCAAAGCCAGCCTCAGCAAAAGCAAGGTGCTAAACAACTCAGTGAGACTCTGTCTCTTAAAAAAATATATACAAAATAGGGCTGGGGGTGTGGCTCAGTGGCAGAGTGCCCCTGAGTTCAATCCTGGGTACCCTCCCCTCAAAAAAAGAGTAATGAAATAAACACCCAATTAAAAATGAGCAAAAGATTTAAACAAAACACTTCCCTGAAGATGTATAATGGCAAGCAAGCACATGAGAAAATATTCAAAATTATTTGCCACTTGATGAAATATAAATTGAAACCACAAAAGAATACTGCTATACATCTATGAAATAGAATAGCTAAAATTTTTAAAATGAGTAAAAACACACAATGCCAAGTGCTAATGAGAATGCAGAGTAAGTGGAACTCCTACATATTGTTAAGAATGTGAAAATGATTCCATCTGTAGAAAATAATTTTGGAAGATTTTATTAAGACTTACTATATAATGTAGCCGTCCTGTTCATAGGTTGGGAAATGAAAATGAAAACACATGTTGTTATCCATTAACACAACAAAAACTGGAAACAAGCCAAATGTCTTTCAGTGTGTTAATGGAAAATCTGTGGTGCTTCCATGCAATGGAATACTACTCATGATGAAAAGGATTGAACCACTAGTACGTGCAACAACATAATGCTCAAAGGCATTATGCTTAGTGAAATAACCCTGACTCAACAGCTTACAAGTTGTATGACTCTATTATGTGACATTCTGGAAAAGGCAAAAATACAAGGCATAGAAAGCAGATCAGTGGTTGTCAGGGGAAAATGTGCTGGGGGCCGTGTGAGTACAAATGGATACTGCAAGAAGTTTTCTGGGGTGATTTAACTATCCTTTTCCTGATTGTGATGATGATGATAGTCATCCCTGCTAGCCACAGGAGATACATTCCAAGGCCCCCAGTGGATGCCTAAAACTTTGGATAGTACCAAACTCCACAAATATACTATATATACATACCTGTGATAAAGCTTAATTTATAAATTGTGCACAATTAGAGATGAACAACACTAATAATAAAATGGAAAAATTATAGTAACATACTATGATAAAATCGCTAGCATCACTACTCTTGTGCTTTGAGGCCATTATTAATTGAAATAAGAATCAGTTGAACAAAAGCACTGTGATACCACCATAGTAGGTGACTACTGAATAATTAATGAGCAGGATAATGTATACAGCATAGATACACTAGACTAATGGAAAACTCACATCCAGGGTGGAATGGAACAGACAGCAAGAGATTTTAACACACTACTCATAACAGCGTGAGATTTAAAACTTATAATTTGTTTATTTCTAGAATTTTCCATTTAATATTTTCTAGAATGTGGTTGACTGCATATTATTGAAATCATGAACAGCATGTATAAAGGAGAACTACTGTACATGATTTTATGTGTGCTAAAACTCACATAACTACATACCCAAAAAGGAGTCAATTTCACTACATTTGAATCTTAAAAACTTTTAAAGATGTTGCAAAGCATATTTTATTATAAGACTTCAGCAAGACTGCACACATATTTCCATAGGAAGGCAACAGTCATTAGGAAAGCATACTACTTCCCTCCCAGAAGTTTAAGCCATCAACCAAGACGCTGAGACAGCACTAGAGAAGCAGGAAGTTATGAGCCCCACGGTTCTTCCCAAAAAAACCACAACACAAAATGTGGCCGGGGCTTGCGGGTCACAGAATATCAGGGGCATAGAGTCCAGGATATCATCAGCTCTAGCTGTGTGCCTGCCCCACCCCAAAGCATAGAGGAGCAGAGCGCCACCTAAGGGCTGGGCTGTGCATTGTGGATCTCAGCAGGCAGATGCTTCATGTTCAGGCATCAGAAAACCAGCTCACAGGACCCAGTGGAGGCACCTGATTCTCTTGTCAACTGGGAAGAGTAACAGAGATTTTCCACCACAGGTGCCTCAATCAGCACCTCTGAAAATGAGCTGAAAAATGAGCATGATTTATACTTTGTCAAAAATTATGGGGATCCAGACATTTGTCAAAACTTACATCACTACACACCAAAAAGAGTGAATTGCACTTTATAAACATTTAAAAATTAATCGAAAAAAAAAAAAGTCTTCTGGGAAAGACCTATAAAGATAAACTTTAAGCACCTAGCTCATGCCTTTTAATTTTTCTGGCCCCAAATTAAAGTGATGGGTGTTGAGAATACATACCAGGAAATTTCTTCTGAGATTTGATTTATTACCACAAATAGTGGTGCCCCTGACAGAAAATTAAAGTCTGCAAGTGGTTAAAAATGGAGGAGGTGGGAAGTCTCTCTGACCAGTTGGGAGTCTCGGCATTACTTGTTCTCTTTCTACATCACACAACTCTCCTGTCACCAGAGTACCACCATGTTTGCAGGCTATTTAAAGAAAAAAAAAAAATCCTAACAATGATAGGCACAGTGGTGATCACGGACGACATCAACCCCGCCGCCCTGGGTCTGGCACATCCCTGGAGGGTCATGATAACTCTGGGAAGATTATTAACTGGTCTGATTTTCTAGGAAAATTAGAGTGCGAGTGAATTTTCTCCAAAGCCCCAGGGTGCTCCAGGGTGGTCGTTCCCTGGGCAGGTAATACAGGTGGACATTTGGGGCACTCTGGTTGGTATCACCCCACCCAGGTTGCAGATTCATCCCACAAAAAAATCCAACGTACGAGACACAAGTGCTGGGGAGAAAGGACAGATTGATTCAGCAGCCAAAGAATGGAGAAGAGGGAGCTTTACTTCCAAATCAGCTTCTCAGTCCCAGGGAGGAGAGGGATAATGAAAGAGAGGGACAGGCTGATAGAGCGGAGGGACATCCATGTCTTTTCTGCCAGTAGGCAGAGATCTCCCAGGAACTTGGGTGCCACCTCTTTTCACTCCTTTTGCAGTCTGGTGTTTCCCATCCTGGTGGCTGGAAGATGTCTTTAGCCTTGAATGGGGAGGAGAGAGGCTAAGCCAAGTCCAGGTCAAGTTAACCCTGCTTCATAGTTTGGGACAAAACATTCTCAAATGTCCCACAGGTCTACACACAGAGCTGGGTAGAATCTGACAAAAGGTTAAGATAGAGAAGGTCCACGTGGAGGGTCAGTGTTCTCAGTGAATGTGGCCTTTAGTTCTCTGGAGAGGAACCCAGACCACTGTTCCCGTCATAATTCACATGCCAGAGAGTAACCCAAACCACTGTTCCCATCATAATTCACACGCCAGAGGTATTATCTACAGCAAACCAGTGGGGCACCAGTAATGTATTGCCCCACTTGTGACCTCCAAAATTAGTGATTTTTAAGTCAACTAAGAGCAAGAAAATCCAGAGGGTTTAAGTTTTTCCCTAGTAGCAATATGAGGGAGTTCTCTACAGTGACCCAAACTTAGGAGAACAAGTTCACATTGTGTAATAGCACATTCAGTCTCTGTTGATTGTTATAAAGTCGTCCGACACTATGAAAAATCCAGTGAGCATGTTCACAGTCTAAGTGAGTTTTCCTGGTTTATGAGAATAGCCAGCACTTTCCCGATTTGCTTCATTTTCAGGATCCCCAAGAATTCTTTGTGCTTTAAAAAAAAATTTTTTTTTTAATATTAGAGGTTGAATCACTACTGAGCCACATCTTCTAGTCCTTTTTAAAAATTGTTCAGGGCCTTGCTAAGTTGCTGAGACTAGCCTCAAACTCGCAATCCTCTTGCCACAGCCTCCCAAGACACTGGATTTACAGGTGTGCCTCACCACAGCAGGTTTCTTTGTCCTTTACAATCTCATTCAAGGTCAATTCCAGGTTCAGATATTTTCTAAAGCACCCTCTTACCTCAGAATGCGATTTCTTGGATTTATTGGGCACTCATTCCCAATTCAAGTGCCAAGAAGTCGGTGTCTTGGTAGTTTCCTTCTACCTGTCTCATTATCCATGAATTCTACAGTGACCATTCTGGAAAATGACTTCAGAAGCAGGGTTTCCTGATGCAAACCCAGTTTATCCTTAGGCATACTGGACTGTGACACGGCCACAGAGTCCAGGATATCATCAGTTCTAGCTGTGTGCCT